GGCATATGAAAAGTGTGGCTGAGTGTGCGAGAGAGACAGACAGTATCTCAGTACATGCTCTCACTCTAGTATGGACGCAATTGGTTGGAAATGAATGCTCGCGCTCATTGACTCCCATAGGGCGTGCGTTTTAGAGTGAGATAGCAAATGTTGAGATCTTATCTGTCTCTCTCACTTACTCAGCTACACTTTTCGCAATGGCATGCTACCTCCAGTCTTCAGCAGTATATGCTGGAAAAGACTAGTATGCTATGTAGTATGTTTTGTGGTAGAAGAAGAGAAAAATAAACTACTTGTTCACTGTGTTGTCAGGTTATGTTATGTTATAGTTTTATTAAAAAACTGTAAATTTCCATGAATTGCAATGGTTAATAAAAAAGAAGAAAATTGTAGGTTCTGCCTACGAATGCTTCGATTAGTGGATGAATGTGATTATGTGCTGTTGGAAGAAATTCATAGAGAAATATTAGATGTTCTTCGAATAAACCTTGTAAGAATAATATTTTATGATAATTACAAGAAAAAAAAAATCAATCGACGCAAAAATAAATATAGGAAATTACAATCGATTTCTTCCAGAATAAGTGAAAAATATACTATAACGTATCCTTTACTTTTTTAGTCTAAAGAGTAATGATTAATTTATGAATCCATTTTATTTTTCAGAATATCAGTAAATGTACCCAAGCTGTCATTTGCAATGACTGCTCGAAAAATCTTCTTGAATCCTTTTCTTTCAAAACAGTATGCTTGTATACAGAAGATAAAATAACACCGTCTATCAGCAACCAAAATAGTGACAAATTAGATATGTCGGTGCTTTTCTGCAAGATGAACAATATTCAAGAAAACATAACATTGAGACGCAAAAAGATATGCCGATTTTGTATGAAAATAATTGAAAAACTTTCATTCTTCTCTTTGAAAGATATAGGCACGTCGAATTTAAGAATGTTACAAAAATATATGCCGGAAATGGTAAGTTAAATGCTTAAAAATTCTTCAATGTTGCTTACAAAACCTTGTTTTCAGGATCTGGAGGCAGTCGAAGATCCCATAATATGTGAAGCCTGTTTTTATTGTCTTAAAGACTATTTTAACTTTGCTAACAGTTGCTTAGACACTGCAGAAAAATCTTTAATTTTCGAAGGGACAGAATCACCTAATTTGGAGAATAATGACAGCAGTAACAAGAGTGACACGATTCATGACAACGTCTTTGAAGTGGGTAACAAAGGGACGAGGTAATGTATTGTTTTTACTAGTAAAGTTATATGTCATAAAAAACACAAATTAAAACAAAACGCTACGTTTAGAATTGTGAATAGTACAACCAAATTTTGAAAAACATCCTTATAAAATCTAAAACAGATCAAAAGGTTACTTTTCTGTCTGTGGAAGAAAATAGAACATACTGAATTTGGGTTTATTCAAAATTTATGAGGTATCGAAATAAATTCCAAATGATATACAGGAGAGGTCAACATAGTTGTAGTACTTCATAAAAAAAATTCCTATCGGGCTTCGTTGTGCATTATTCGCCTTCTGCAAAGTTGAGTAACAAATTCCAATTATAACTTCTAAGACGTTACCATGACAACAATGAAATTTGGGCAATTAAAGTAACTCATGGAAATGTTCATTTCCAAGTTTAAACTGATATTCAATATGCCTGGATTATACAGGAGCAGACAAAATTATCCATTTAAATTTATAAATCTTTGACACCGTTGCCAAATTTGGCATTTTTCTTTCATAGTTTAATTCCCCTCTCACTTTGCTAAAAAAAAGTAATAAGAGCTGATGAAAATTTCTAAAATTTCTGATAATAAATCCAAGTATACGAAATGCCGAATTAACAATTGTGTTGATGTGATTACACAGACCAACAAAATTTAACTTTTTTTTGGAAGCAGAAACTTGAATATATATTTCCAAAGGATTTAGGTGCGTTGAATCCGAATCATAGCAGCAGAATTGCTCTATCACGTCAGGTTTTTGAGATATCCTAACCTAAAATTGCAAAAATCACTGTTTTTCATCATATTTGAGGATATATAGTAATGCCATCTATTCTTTTTCAAAAAACTAATACATTGAATCTAAAAGTACAAGGTTTTTTGAGATATCCTAACCTAAAAGTGCAAAAACACTTTTTCGTCATATTTGAGGTTATGTAGTAATGCCATCTATTCTTTTTCAAAAAACTAATACATTGAATCTAAAAATACAAGGCTCCCTCCTTCGATTGCCGTTGAGTTTGCTCAAATATCTTTTTTTTCGTTGAGATATCACATGTTGAAATTTTTAAGTTTCTCAGTTTCTTAATATGCAAAAATCTACTAAGGATCCCTTAGACATCAAGCAGTCGATTGCAATTCAGAAATAGAGAAAATCAACCATTTTAAAATTGTTTGCCTTATTGCCATCGTTTATTGCGAAATTCCAATGTTTTATGTAGAGACTGTTTAGTTTAATAGACAAAGAATAAATGTCACAATAAAACAAAATTTGCATTATTCTAAGCATTATTGCGCACGCGAGCGATGAAAGAAATGGGCAATATGCATATATTTTCTTAAATATCTAGAAATATTCTCGAATCTTGTATAATCATGTGAAAATATTAGAAATCTTTTAAAGATTATTAATTAATAATTCATTATTAAAGTTTGGCGCTCATAATAAATGTTTTAAACTAACTGCTGATGCGCTAACTCGTGACATCATTTAATGAGATCCAGAATCGAGAAGATGTATGACAAGTCAAGATCACCTGCATGAACGTGGAAGGTAACAGGAGTCTAGAGAGTAAAATTCTCTTTCTTTTGAGGCTCTCATCACGTGCAATTCTTTAAATTAGGATTGTCCCGTCGAAATGGGAATTATAGACTAAAAGGCAGACGGCCTTGACGCTGATCGTGTTCTTGCTCAAATTAAACGTTATAATGCGTTCTTGATCACGTGACACGTGACAGAATAATTTTCAACATCTATAATTAATTTGTAGCATTAAAGAAATTATTATTATTTTATCACTGTTGGTTATTATTGCACTAAATGCTTATTGTAAGGTATTAGATTCCAATTTAAGGCATGCATTATTGCTAAGCCTTTAACATTTCTCAAATGGAATTTAAATTAATAATTGGTTAATACTGACAAAATTAGAAAGAAACAAAGGAATTTATGACGATATTATGTGACCCTGTGCTTCTCTAGCTTACATAGTAAACATGTCATTGTGTCACCTTTAGATTTCTATCATCTCGAATTCTCTAAATTTGTAATCTACATTTTAGTTTTAAATTTAATAAAAATTTCTTTTTCAGTGTTACTACTAACGAGGATAATGTAATTGCAAAGAAAAAACAAAACAAAACGGACTGCGATTCGGAAAATGAACGGAAGAAGAGTAACAAGAAGAATAAGAAACAAACTTTGTTCAAATGTAAAAAGTGCAATTTCAAAACCTTATGGAGCAGCGCCCTCCACACACATTCCTTATTGCACAAGGATAAAGCGGACATTCGTATGTACAAATGTGAATATTGTCCATTCGAAACAATGTACAAGCAACACATTGGGCCACACAAACAACGACATGAAGATGTCTCTTTCTTCGTAGCTGCACACAAGTGTGAAATCTGCGACTTTAGGGCAAACACGGAGAAATCGCTAAAAATTCACATGATTAATCACAAAAAAAAACAGTCAAACTTTCTTGAGTGCAACTATTGTCCGTTTAAAACGAAACACGAAGGGTCGCTGAAGCAACATATAGTGAATCACAAGGACGTTCCGCTACTGAAGTGTCCGCTATGCACCTTCAAAACAAAGCATAGACGCATCTTAAATGCCCACAAACTAACCCACAACAAAGATAAGACGTTCGCTTGTGGCCAATGCAAATTTCGAACCTCGCAGAAAGCTTACCTTGTCCTACATATCCGACGACTTCACCTCCACCCAATGTCCGGTAAAAGTTACAGTTGCGACCTGTGCGCATTTAAGACGGTAAATAAAGTAAATCTAAGAAAACACCAAGTAATTCATCGACAACCAACACGTACGTTTAAATGCGACAAATGCATTTTCGTAAGTCGATACAAAACTTGTGTGGCAAGACATACAATTCTCGTTCATGGTACGTCGGAAATCCAGCAATATAAATGCGATTCCTGTCAGTTTATAACAAAACATAAAAGCAGCTTGACGGGCCACTTGCTGCGAAAGCACGGAAACGAGAATAGACAGGTGTATAAATGTCCCACATGCGACTATACATCGCATTCTATGGGTACAGTTAGAAAACACCAATTGAAACACGTCGACCCGTCGGAATTGGAGACTTTCGAGTGTTATGACTGCGGTTTTCGGACCATCCACAAGTTAGTATTGAAAAACCATGTAGTTTTACACATGAATGTTTTCTATAAATGCGACTGTTGTGATTATCAAACTAAGCACAAGAGAAACTTGTCCGGTCATTACAGGCTACTACATAATAAAAAATTCGATCACAAAAACTTTTTGCCTGTAAAGTCTTGAATAGTTCAATTAAACACTTTTTGTAGATGGACATATGAGTTTATTTTATCTTTTATTGATTAAATTCACTATTTTATTTATTAGTAAATATGCCAATTACATCAAAACTTACCATTAAACGATTTTATGTAGGTATGTGCCCATGGAACCAGTTACTAGTCAAAATGGTTAGTAGAGTTTGATGTTTGGCTGTAAAGTCTGTAGCGTCACAAAAAAAATAAAAACAACTGTTAGATACAGGGTGCAGCTATAAGTGTTTTTTTTTTTTTTGGTAAAAGGGAGTGGACTGTATGAATGTGCAAAAAACATTTTCTTATTCGATACTTATAAGTCGGGATAATCCATATAATATTGTCTTCTTGCAAGAACATCGTTTTCTCCTGACAAAAAATAGGCTCTAACCATATACAATAACTGTATCACCCCCAAACACTGAAATAATTAACTTTATAAGGTTATATATTTAAACTGTACAAAAACACTTCAAAATGTAACAGAATGAAATGCTGATGACATTTTCGGCAATTCCTGTTTTGCCAAATTAAGGTGGCAGTTTATTTTTACCCGTTTACCATCCCGTCATATCACACCAGGTGTGAAGTAGTGCAGTAGCGCCCTTTCAGAGGCGACAAAACGGAATTTTATTTGAGTAACGGAGGCTAACCTCTGTTGCTGTCTGTGAGCATTCGGAACAGGATCGGATAAATTAGTTCATGATTTCGTTACTGTTTCGACTTGATTGAATTAATTCAGTATGTCTAGCATCGATTGGCTGCTGAGGTGGCTGTATATAAAAAAAATAGATTAGAAACACCATATTTTTAATATTACCTGTTTTAACTTTCCTAAAAATCTTTATTATTATTTAGTGACACTAATATAGTTAGCTGAACTAGATCAATACACTGCTTAAAAAATAAGCACAATTGTTTGTAAAAACTTTTTTTAATTTTAAAAACACATTTTATATTGTAGTCCTGGAGGCTCCATCCCTAAAATGAGCAAATAAAACGCTTGTTTAAGTATGTGAGTAAAATTTTATTTGTTTGGGACGCAATAAGCGATTTAACAGCGTTTTATCGAGAGAAAAATATATATCAACCAAACCCGATCCAAATTCAGTGTTTTCAAGTCCAATTCGTACACTCATAGTAGTAGTTCTTCAGTCTTCGTTGATTCTTTTGTGCAAAAGTTTGGTCAAAAAAATTTGGAACAACTTCCAGCAAAAAGTGAAAAACATTTGTTTGAACGGTCCGTAAGATATTTATTATTTTTCTAAATTCATATTTTTTTTCATTCAAATTTCTCTGTTTAATCTCTTTACGTCGAGTTAGCTCTCAAATTAGATTTTCAAAAACGGCGCATTGCAGGACAAAAACTCGAGAGAGCTCTTTTCTTTCGAATTGAACGGGGATTTTAAAAATAATTTTATTTGGAAAAAAACCATTGGCGTACCTTTTTGTTTCTTTAAAAATATCAAAGTCAGTGCTCGTATGCACGTCACTGTTAGAGCTAAAAATTGTATATCAATCAGATTAATATATAGAGTTTTTTATTATATTTTTTAAAACAGCAAAAATAATTTAAAAACAAAATAGCTTTATTTATAATTGAACCATATACATATGAATATTGGTTAATATTTAATAAATCATGTAAAAAAATATGTGGCGCTTCATGCATTTGATAAAAAAAATATGGTGACTTTGAAATAATATGTTACTAAGCCTTACAAAAACAATCTGATTACTAAATTATATTCCATTGTCTCTAACAGTTGTTTTAAAAAGTAACAACTGGCAAGGCAGATAGTGCACTAATACAACTTACCACACTAATTCCGGGTGGCCCGGTTTATGCCACCCAGGGGGGCTAAACAAGAATTAAAGTCCAGTTTATGAAGCTAATTATGACTCGATTATATTATTTATCTCATTAACAAAAATAGAATTTCAGATTCGTATTCAGAGGGGCACATACTACTACCCCTAAATGAAACTGACCTTCACTTAAAATTGCACCCTGTATTAGATCAGCAGTCTACGGAGTGTCAACAGAATATTTAGTAAAAATTTGTCAAGTTGGTTAAATGTAACTATTACGTGTGTTCGTGTGTATGTATATAATATTTCACTATTTTCTACATCCATTTACTAAATTTTAATGAATATGAAAATATAGTTAATATTCCAGTTTTATCAATTTTGATTTTAATGCCTAGAATCTTCATATAAACTTTTAAATATTGCATATTTTGGGCTAGCCATCCTTGAAATTAAGGTAAATTATAATAGATTTATCCAAGAAATTATGTGTGGGTTCAATTTCCCAGTTCATCTATATTAAATTTACTCTCAAAGTCCTCGGACTAATAAATAAAGAATTTACCTTGAAATTAATTCAGTATGTGACCAACAATACAATTCAACGCTTTAGTACGATAACATGCTATCTCAGATTTCTGTTGGAAAGCATTCTATCTCAAATTTCAGTTGGAAAACATGCTATCTCAAATTAAGCTTGGAAAAAGATGCTAACTCAGATCTTTAGGTAAAAACATGCTATCTCAGTGTGAATTGAATGATTGAAACCGTGCATTTATAAGAAAAGTAAGGAATGTTTATGTTCATGTACATTGTTTATTTTATTTTTTTATTCAACATTTTTCAATTAATTAGTTAGTTACTGTTATAAACGACAAAATTGTTAATTAAAAAAATAGAATAATATGCAATATACTGCAACATGTACATTACTCGACGTTTTTTGAAATAACAAATTATAAAAAAAAATAGTGTATACCTTAATATATAAAAATGTTTGTTATTACAAAAATTATTCAATTTTTTCACACAAGTTTGCCTTGATATAAAAATTAATAGCGCACTCCCCTATTTCCCCAATTCCAATAAAATCTGTAGATCTGGCTTCACTCTTTCTAGGGCTGCCCTCTGTTAACGGATTGTATTAACATATCGGAATACGAAGTCGGAATTGTATTATTATTAAAGTAGTGACATCTATTACAGAAAAGGCAAATGAATTACATGTGGAAGTGGCTCTTATTTGTGGAAGGGCAAAATGGGCGGTGACTATGAGACGCCTTCATTATAGCCATCCTTTTCCATCGCATGGATTTCTATGACTTTATCGCTCTCACGTAACGGCTGATGAACCATGGGGACTTTCCAACCCTGGTATAAGTTTATTATAAATGCATGGTTTCAATCACTCAATGTGCCAACTTAAATTTCTAGTCACACTGAGACAACATGTTTTTACCCAAAGATCTGAGGTAGCATGTTTTCCAAGCTTAATTTGAAACAGCATGTTTTCCAACTGAAATTTGAGATAGCATGTTTTCCAACCGAAATCTGAGATAGCATGTTTTCGTACTAAAGCGTCGAATTGTGCAATTAGAATAAAGACTGCGAAGAACGAATGCCAGTTGGAAGGGATAGTTACGACAAGCTGAGCCCAGGCTAAAGCCGGAAGTCGGCAGTCGGCCACATGCTAGACGCAAGGTTTTTCTGTCAATGTCTTTTTTATTTAATAGATTAAAATGAATTTTTGGCGAATACAAATACGTAATTGTGCAAATGCAAATACGTAATCGGTTGGAAAAAACTAATCTCCTATTAGTAGACCTCATAGGTACTATATATATTTGGATATGTTAACCACAACAGCAACAAAAACAACTTACTTAACTCGCTGGCAATACCTCTCAACTGTAGAGATGGACAGGGAATTCTGCAATTTATAGACACTGTAACCGCGGATAGGTAATTCTCACCACTTTTAACGTAAAATTACTAAAATTTATTTGTTTCACAATGAACAGTTTGCACCCTTTAAATTTATATGGTATGAAAACAAGATATAATTTTATATCAGAAACTTTTTCTATGTTTACTAAGGCTATTACTAATTTTAAATCCAGAGAGAATAGTAGAATAGTTTTGTCTTATTAAAATTGTATTAAAATATGTTCTATGTAAAAATAAATTATTTGTTTTTTACTTGACCTATTCAAAAATATGTAGTTATATTTAAGTGGAAGTCGGGTTTATAAACGTTTTATATTATATTTACATATTGTGTTTATCTATTCTATTTCTGGCATGGCATGTAGATGTGAGGATAACAAATAAAAAGTATTTATTTCCTTATTTATTAATATTAGTATTAATATTCACAAATTATTTCTTGAACAATTGTAGTTGTGTACTTATCTATTTGAATAAAATAATAAATTACTACTGCCTTCTATTTATTTCACATTTAAAAAATATTTCATGTACAAATATTGTTTTATAAATTATAAAATTTTAACAGAGCATATTTTTAACACTTAATTGTTGTTACTACCAAAAAGAGTCAATTTCCTAATAAGAAATAGAGTTCCTTTTCAAATTAACGTAGCGCGATTTGCATTCTAGGTCACGTGACAGAGCAAATCGCCGCCGCTTTAGCTGTTCATGTTGGAACAGCTTGGCCTCAATCCATGTACAGGGTCGGAAAGTCCCCATGGTTCATTGGCCGTTACGTGAGAGCGATAAAGTAAGTCATAGAGAATCCGTGCGATAGAGAAAGATGGCTATAATGAAGGCATCTAATAGTCACCGCCCATTTCGCTCTTCCACAAATAAGAAGTGAAGTTTTTTATGTGGTGCCAAAATCAGACAACTAAAAATTATAATAAGCAGGTCAAAGATTGCCATGAAAGTGAAAACAAATACCAATCGGACAAAGAAAGAATACAGGCACTATAAATTTAATACTTTTAATTATATCAATTATTATTAATTAATTATAAAAATAATAATAACTTCATAAAATGTAATGAATTATAAATAGTAAGTTGTTAAACAAAAAATTTCAAAACATTAATCTAAATTAAGTTTTAGTTTTCTCTAAACCTTCTTCGCTGTCGAACACATTTTTCCAATCATCTTAAATTTAAAAATAATTTACATAGCCATTGTGGAATAATCTCTGCACAAGCTTGTCTTATGCAATTCATTAAGTCATCCAAATTCCTTGGTCTGTTTTTCTAAACTTTTTGTTTTAGAACACCCCAAAAGTAAAAGTTCATAGTTCGAGAAAACTAAAATTTAATTTAGATTGTTTTGTAATTTTTTGTTTAACAACTTAATATTCATAATTCATTACCTACATTTTTTGTACGCGAACTATTATTATTATTTTTACCACCATACTGAGTCATACATGGATTTCCCAGTCCTAGCTGGAAAATTAGGTGAAATTTGAAGTCGCTCGGAACTGAGAATATGACAGTATCGTTTCTTGCTGGTCAAAATACGTCGGAAATGATGTTATATGTCAGATATTATGTAGAGCAAAATCATTTTTGGACTACGATTGAGCAATTATTGGGCCCGTTTTCACTCTAAATATAGATTTTACAAGAATTTAATTAAAATTTTCGTAATAAGACTGTGTCGTTATCGGGGATTTCGCACTCCATGGCACCAGAACGTGGGGTATAGGTGGCAGTCGATGCCTCCCTTCGAGTTCGAGCCCCACGTTGGGCGCCATGTCGTGATATTAATACTTGGTCGTCTGTATAGGGACCAACGGTTTCCTGATCCGTAGCACCGGAACGCGGGGGTGGATGGCAGAAGGTGTCATTCACGGAATTCGAACCCCACGCTCGTTGCCAGGTCGTAAACTGTGATCTGAAGTGTGACCTTCCCCTTGACGGTGATGGTGTTGGTGGGTTACCTCGTCGCGATTGATTAAGAGTGGACCATGTCGTGGTAAATCATGTGACCTAACAGGCTCGATTCTTCCTCAGATATAGGAATTCGTCGGGCAAAAGGGCCGCGACGGAATGGCAGGATTCAACGGAGCCTGAATGTACCTCGATTTCGATGCGGGGTCTCAACGGAGCTGCTGGCTATCGAATCGAGTTTTCCTCTTCTGAAGAGGGAATCGTCTGGCAAAAAGCGCCACGACGGACTATCTCGTAAACGAGTTAGGAGCAGTAGGGCTCTATGCTACCTCAAAGAAGGTCTTCGTCAGAGGTAAGCAGCCTTGACGGAATCTCGAGAAGCGAGCCTGTGAACTTATGGCTCCAAAGATTTTGAATCTGTTGTACAGGATTTCTTACATCAGAAACTCGGGGGGCACATTCTAAAAGGACTTTATTCAGCTAAATACAATGTGTGTGTGTGTGTGTATATAGTAAGTATAGATTGTATGCATAAATATATTCTATATTAACAATATAGAAAAAATTATACATGCGTCTAGCGCGTTTTCATACTAGTAGCTCCCGATAATATACTGCGGACGCCTCGGGTAGACGTTCACTTGGATTTAGAAAAGTCGTCCAATCTCCATACTTTTGGCGGAGCACTCTCGTCGCGTCCGCCAAAATGAAAACGGCCTTCGTCGTTGAACGCCTTCCCCCTCTGGCCTCTCTGAATTTTTTCCGAAAGTTCGTGTATCGATTTTCGGCATCAGCGTAGTCATATTACCTAGTACCTAGTCAGAAAGTGCTTATTCTCGAATAATCTTGATTTTCCGATTTTCGGAAATTCTACTCTCGGGTATACTGCCTGGACTGCCGAGCACGGGAATCGCATCGCTGGAGCGGTGAGATCCTAGGGACATGGACTTTTTGGCCCAAAGACGGAAAAATTTGAAAGGGTGGTGAACACTTTTCTGTCTTCGTAAAAGGGCTTACGGAGAAATTATGTCTGAATATATAGATATTCGTAATATTTTCGGGGATGATATACGGTATGAAGTAGTACCACAGCCAATACAGCCCCCCAACTGACTTGGCGGGAACGGTTAGCGTCGATTCCNAATGTCATACCACGTAATATTGTAATTCAAATTTCATATTATTAAAATTCCCTACTACGGTACTGTCAGGTAGAAAATTTTAATAATAAAAATTCTTTTAATCCGGCCCCGACTATTCCACTAAATCTGAGAGAGATAGCGCGATTCCGTCTCGCTTGGTTCTCGACCGCCACATCAAAGGCGCCGACACGGACTCTTCTAGCTGTATATAAGCTGTGGTAGTACCGCGGTTTTGGTGTTCGAACGAGATCAAGCGAACACTTCCGGCAGAAATAAGGAAAACGTAAAATCCTGTTTTGGATTAGCTGGCCGTCAGTGGTCGCCCGATTCGATTCGAATTTGCTGATGGAAACCATAGAGGGGTGCTCTACTGTGGTTTTGTGGTTCGGCCGAAATCGTATGAGCGGAACGGCTGAAAACGCGGAAAACGTGAAATCCGCGTTTCCCCGAATAACGGCGTTGTGCCTAATACGATTCGAACCAAACTTTAATGTAACAATGCCAGCAATGTGTAGTATGCTGCATTCAATTTCTGTCCAAATCGCTCGAGTGGTTTGGATGTTATTAGCGATAGCGTCCTTGGACCCAATGGAAACATCGGTAAATTCCTAGATTTTCCCATTTTCCAATTGTCTTCCTGACGCGTGCCGGGGTTCGTCGTCAGGTTGCGGTCGTCACTGCAGTGGCTACAATCTCTACCTAATCTATGGTGACTACTGAGCGCGTTAGTGACAGACTCGGGCGAGATCGGCCGCGGTGTTGGAAAATTGGAAAGGTGGGCTAAATCCGATGTTACGGAGCTATCGGACTAATTTCCGAGGCCGACGTCCGCGCCGTGATGTGGAGTTGGTGTTGGAAAGTTTCGTTGGCATCGGGTTCGATGACGGAAATTGTACCGTGGTGGAATTTCCGGTCGCTTGGCACGAAGACGGCGGCGACTGGATTTTCGACCGTGGTAGCTTTTCTGCTTTACTCGAAAAGTAAGGTGAAGTTTTGATTTACCTCGCCTTTTCTCTGGAATGAGTTCCACAGACACGCATGAGTATGTAGAGTAATTTGGAGTATTGAAAAACTCTAAATATTAGGAGCCACACTTTAACTAAGAACGTGTTTTATCGATTATTGGCATCAAAATGAGTAGCACTACTGGAGTCTACATTTTCGCACTCAAGTTTTTTTTATGTGTGCCTGTGTTATTACGAAATAAATGTGTTAAATGGGTCTGTTGCCGCGCTAATATGTGACGGCATTTAGTGCGATCTATAATTGAAAAAAATATATGACGGGGACAAGACGGCCCGATACATGAGTATAGTAAGTAACAAGCTAGAAACGGACAAATCCGTTCTCAGTTCTCAGCATGGGCATTTCTAACTTAAACTAGAGGTCTCGTCTCGTCACCACAGGATTGTAGACTGGATGGCATACGACCAAAAAGCAAATTGTGTTCTTGGCTGGACTAAATGACGTCACAATGCTTTCCAGATCAAGTAACAAAATTTAAATTTTTACGTAATTTTAAGCATATAAGTACCTAATTAACTTGTAGCATTAAAAAAATATTTTTTTATCTCTGTTAGTTGCTGTCAGTTATAGACTACAAATTTATGTAGTTTTAAAAGAAATTAAATTTTCCTTTAAGTTGTCTGTTGTAGAGGCTCTCTGCAGTTTGTTTTGCGCGTCTTACTATTTCTATTTGAATTTGTTGGTTTAAATATACTGTGGTAACAGTGGATGTATGATAAATGCGCGACAAACATTACCTACGTGACGTTACTGGTCTTTGACGTTCCGTAAAATCTTAAATCTTCTCCTTAGTAGACGTAGGACACTTTGTTTATTAAAAGAAAATATAAATTTTAATAATTTTATTTCCACAATTTTCTTATGAGTAACAGTTATTATATGTTTTAATTATTACGCGATATCTACTGATTGCTGTGCCTTCACATAAATCGGTTTGGGGTTAGCCCTCTTAGATGACAGTTCGATGAACACCCATTTAGCGCCCTCGTCATTCTGATTATTTTTAGTAAATGCTGCTTCACCACCTTTATCAACTAGAGAAATATCACTATCTTCAACACGAATGGTCGTCTCGCCTTGAGTATTCAGTTTCCAGATTTGGTAGTCTCTGCTATTATTGTTATACGTTAGAATTCCTCTAAAAAATAAAATAATTATTACACAGGGAGTAACAAGGATATGGCAAAATTTCTCAGAGGACGAGGCAACTTGTTAAAGTTCTTGTGAATATCTGTAATAAAATTACCTTTTGGATATATTTTTACCAAATACACATATATTTTTTGTGTAAATGTGTTTGAGTTCAATCGATAAACAAAGGTTAAATTAAAACAAAATAACATATGAGGGGACTTCAGTTTTAGGTTTTTTTATGAGGTCGGATAATATTTTCAATGGGCTTATTCAAAATATTTGGAAAGGTGCATGCAGTTCACTGGGCAATTATGACGTCACACCACTCGATTAGCTCGATCCAACGGCTAAACGCGTTAGTTGCCTCAAATTACTTCTTTGTGGTATACTTTTAGTTTTTTTCTGGTTTATTGGTATTTTTCGAGTAAAAAAATCTTTTTGCCTATTTTGCCATATAGGTTTAAAAATGTACCCTTTCCGTCTGGTGCAAATATGGAATCTGTGGGCTTAATAAAAAATGAACTACAAGATAAAAATTACTTATCCTGTGTTAAAGTCTAGTCTAGTCTAGTGTAAGAACGGGACAAAGTTACTTGTCACTTATCTCCTTCTTTCACCACATATCCATTGGTTATTTGCGTTTGGTTTTATTCTAACCGTTTATTTAAAATATTATTATTTAATTTGGAAATTTCCTTTTCCAGCAGAGCGGAGCATCCTCTTGGGCTGATCGACAAGTACTCCTGATCTAAATGTTATTAAAATATTATGAAATCATATGAAAAAGTCTTTGCGGAACTACACCCACAGGACAATTCCTGATCTTAAAACAGAAATCCGGGAGATTTGAGAATTTTTCATTCAGAAGTTTGTAGATCCTTAGTCGACACTATACCAAAGAAAATTTGCGATGTTGTAAAGGCCAAATGAGACGTTACGAATTACTAAATAATAATAAGCACACTCTTCTGTTCGAACATTTACTTGTCACCACATTTTGCAGCTTTTGTTTAATTTTCATTTAGTTTAACAATTTTTTTAATAAATAATAGTGAATCAATTTTCCTGACATCTTCAGAAGTAGTTGACTAAATGTAATATTTTTTTAAAATATAATAATATAATAAAATAATCAATAATTAATTTTGGCTATTGCAGAAAAATACAAAAATCTGTGGTTCATTTCAATCCAAATTAGCTGCACCATCAATATATCAAATGAATACCTATACCGACATACTAGTAACCTCATATACGGAAAAAGTACAAGAAGTCATTTTTTCCTTAAATTAATATGTAATGTGAACTCCTCTGTAAATGAAAGTTCCAGAACACTGAAAAATAAACTGAAACCAGTGAATAAAACGAAACAGCTTACCGGTTTGCAACATTACGAATAATAAAATGTCCAGATTCATTTCGTGGTTCCAATGTCCAGAATTGGGAATATGTATCTCCCCATTCCTCAATTTCCAAGAACTGGCGTGAGACACCTAAGACCATCCCTGTTTTCCTATTTTCAATTACAAATTTCTCCTGGTAATCGTCCATGTATACCCAATTTGATTCCTCAGAATCTTGTTCAATCAATGACCACCTGTCGCTATCGTCACTCTGTTCATATTGAATAAATACCGGTTTGTCACCTTTGTGAGCCAGAAAAACGTCAGCGTCTTCAATTTCAATCCGTGTATCGTCATATTTATTCAATTTCCATACGTCGTACCTGATACCATTCTTAAAGTAAGCCAAACCTTTCCTGAAAATAAAATTTTAGATGTCAGAAGGCTGTAAGTAAAGGAATTAACAAATGGCTGTTAAATATATTTTTTTAATTGTGGCGGGATAATAACAAGTTATTGTTGCCATGCTAATGAGATTTGTGTTTACAAAGGTATAAATATCGTGCCTCACCTAGTTGCATCATCTGTTTTTGATAAAAAAAGAATTTCATTCACCGACAAGGTATAGAAGAAATATTCTGGATCTAGTCGATGATGCAACTACCAACTGACGAAGAATTGCTACTCAATTTAACATTTCATAAAAAGAACAATAAAAACCCTCCAGGAGTAAGGTTTATATTCGTACCATGTACAGAAAGTTCAACACCCACAACCGGAAGATTACGCTAAGCGTATCGAGTTTTATCGATAGATCAATAATAATCATATCTTGTTGTATCCTGCATACATTTTAGGGATAAAGCAACATTCACTCATGCGGGCATAATTAATACTCGGATCTTTCATTTATGGTCAGACGAAAATCCTTACGCGAAAGTAATTTTCAGCATAGGTATTCGGTAAACATGTGGTGCGGATGATTGATAGTCGCTTGTCCAGTCAAGCTATATGTAAACGAGAGCTCACAACACTGGCTGGTTCAAAAATGAAATGTACAAAGTTTGAGTGGACACTCCGGAGGCACTAATTCGACGTATCATCGATACTGCAGCTCTTATTAAAGCAAGACATGCAGCAATCAGGAGAGCTACAGGCGCCCTTTGTAGACGAAGCAGAAAGTGATTAGAGGTCAATGATGGTGTTTTTGAACATTTAATCAAATAACGTTATGATTAATAGAATATCAATAAATTATTATTTTCATTGAAATATACTTTATAGCTTGAGACCAAATGAAAATCGCATAACAAAATTTGAGTTTTTTCTTATTTTCTTGACGTATCCATTCCTGGAGTTTGGCGCGATTCTCCCGACTCACCCTGTATATCACAGATGCATACATTTCAAATGAGATTAACGTATGTACAAAGTGGGTTAGATCTAAACTGCTATTCTACGTCTAAGCCTTCAACAAGGCTAAACTAGCAGAGAGCGGCCTGTTAGTCTCTAGATACTAGGCGATACAAAGTTTTAACTAACAATATTGTAGAAAATAACTCCTCTACGGATTAGAGGTGCGAGCATTGAAGTACACCTACAATATCGAGGAAATAGCTGATAACAGTCCTTAGTGGAACCACTGAACGCATGTATTATGAATTCTCACCATTATGTGATGACGGCCGACGAATGACCTAGCTGTTTTGTATCTATATCTACAGACATGGTTTCGATAATATAGATGAGATGTAACATAAAATGTATTACACCTTGAATGGTGACTACTACTCGATGGCTTTTAATATTGTCGAACTGGCAGACAAATTGCTATTTGTCTGATGGTTCTACATATTAATACTCTTAGCTATTTACTAGATATTGTGAATGCAATTCAAGGCTGTTCGCGGCTTTAGTTCGCAGAGTAGTTATTTCCCGCAATATCATTAGTTTCCTATATCTATTGTAACACAGATCTTGTTTTCAAAGTACTCGCACGATTAGCGGGTCTCTCTCTGCCAGTCTCGTCATATTGAAGAGCTGTGGAATTCAATCGATCAAAAAAGTTATATATCACGAACTGTACAGAGGGCATAAAGTTAATATATACTTAAGAGGGACGATGCAATAAAAATTCTTACCCAGTTGCAGCATTAACAATAGAATATCCAGAGTTGTTTTGTGGGTTTAGAATCCACAATTGAGAGTGTCTATTTTCCAACTTCTCCATTTGAACAGTCTTGTCTGTTTCGCTCAAAACTTGTCCTGTTCTCTTATTTAGTATCACAAATTTTGCTTGGTGGCCTTGAACATATAATCGTGTTGGCGCCGCGCCGTTCTTTTCAGATTTTCGTTCACTCAATGACCACTTGTCGCTGTCATCGTTCTGTTTATTCTCAACATATACGGGTTTGCCATTTTTGTGCGCCAGAAATATGTTAGGATATTCAATCTGAATCCGTGCATAACCTCGGTTTTTCAGTCTCCATATCTCGTACTCGCTGCCGTTTTTAGAGTATGTTAAAATTCTCCTAAAAGTACATTGTAAATTTGCAACTATTCAGCTATTATATTTTAAAAGTTATTTGTGTAACTCCCGTGCTTTGGTACTTTGGTGATGGGGAAAACACGTAATTTGAGATCACCAAAGACATTCCGCACATACATTGTTTGTTCTACAAACTTAACTATACTCGACGGCCAAAATTATAGATAGTGATTCATCGCTAGCTCTTGGACTAGTAAGGAGGATGAAGCGTGCCGGGAACGAAAATCCATTGGCGTGTCTGCGTAAAAGGCAACAAGATATAGAAAATATTGAAAAAACATAATAAAACATAACATCTAATATTTTTTACGGTTTGCTATAACCGGCACTTTGATCAATTTTAATTATTACAGCATTTTAAAACGTCCCAGTTGTGTTTTTTAATTTATAAATTTATTATAGCCATGGAATTAGACCCCTCGTCTACGCTTATGCTATGACGTTTCTCAGGACGGGCAAATCAAGTCCGTTTACACCCACTAAAAAAGCATTTCCCTATTCCCTACCAAGTGCAAAAGACAGAGATAGAATAT